AGAGTACAGAAATATACCTTTACATTTATGGTCAAATGAACTTCAACAAAGGTGGTAAGACATTTGAATGGAAAAAGAACAGTCTTTTCAACAGATTGTACTTGGACAAGTAGATATCCACATGTAACACCATTAAGTTGGAGCTCTACCTCACACTTTATATACAAAATTTAACTAAAAATGGATTACACACATAAATATGAGAGCTAAAAAAATAAATATGAGCTAAAACAATAAAAATCTTAAAAGAAAGCAAAGGAACAAATCTTCATAATCTCAGAGTAAGCAACTTTTTTAGATACAACACAAAAAGAAAAAACAAGAAAAAAGAAAACATAAACTGAACTTCATCCAAATTGAAATCTTTTGTGCTTTAAAGGACACCAGCAAAAAAAGTGAAAAGATAACCCACACAATGGGGAAAAATATCGGCAAACCGTGTCTGATAAGGGGATGAGTGGTATCCAGAATATTTAAAGAATTCTTACAACTCAGGGGCGCCTGGGTGGCTCAGTCATTAAGCGTCTGCCTTCAGCTCAGGTCATGGTCCCAGGGTCCTGGGATCGAGCCCCACATCGGGCTCCCTGCTCGGCGGGAAGCCTGCTTCTCCCTCTGACCGTCCCCCTGCTTGTGTTCCCTCTCTCGCTATCTCTCTGTCAAATAAATACATAAAATCTTTAAAAAAAAAAAAAAATTCTTACAACTCAATAATAAGACATACTAATTTAAAATGTGGGCGAAGGACATTTCTCCAAGGAAGATGTGCAAATCTCCAATAAGCACATGAAAAGATTCATTAATCACTACAGAAATGCAAATCAAAACCACATGGGTGCTACTTCACAACCACCCACCAGGACAGTATTATCAAAAAGACAGACAACAGCTACTGATGAAGATACGGAAAAACTGGAGCTCTAACACACTGCTGATGGGATGGTAAAATGATATAGCCACTCTGAAAAACCATCCTAGCAGTTCCCCTGAAAGGTTAAACTCTGAGTTACCATATATGACCCAGCAATTCCACTCCTAGGTACATGCCCAACAGAAATGAAAACATAATGTCCACACAAAAATCAGCATATGGAGGTGCCTGGACAGCTCAGTCGGTTAAGCACCCGACTCTTGATCTCAGCCCAGGTCTTGATCTCAGGATCATGAGTTCAAGCCCTACACTGGGCTCCACACTGGGCGTGAGCCTACTTAAAAAAAAAAAAATCAGCACATGAATGATCCTAGCAGCATTATTCTTAACAATTAAAAAGTAGAAACAGGGGCACCTGGGTGGCTCAGTCGTTAAGCGTCTGTCTTCGGCTCAG